CGGGAGTCTTGCTATATAGCGATTCCACAGTACAAAAAAACTCCAGGAGGAAAAAAACATGCATAGCTGGACTTGTTAAAAATGACACATTATTTGGTATGCCACACAGCCTCAAGTGCTATCTATTTCTTCCTCTTTCCAACAGCACTGCCTCTAGCAGGCCTTTCCCTTAAAGACTCTTTGAAGAACACAAACAGTAAATTTCCAGATCAGTTCTTAAAAAAAAAAAAAAAAAAAAAATGGAAAAGAAAGAAAACCTGGAGCTATCAATGTTTATTTGCTTTCAAATCTGATGTGGATACTGGGCCTCATTAGGGAGCAGTTGGCACACAAGCCTGGGTGTCTGAGTTTGAATTCCCAGAACGTACGTAAATGCTAGGTGGGCACAGCTGTAATTCCAGCAACTGAAAGGCGGAGAGTGAAAATCTCCAGAGCAAGCTGGCTAGCCAGGTGAGCCAAGTCAGAAAGCTCTGGGTCCAACTGAGTGATCCTGCCTCCATGGGTAATGTGCAGAGTGATCAAGGAAGACACTTGACATCAATTTTGGCCTTCTACACACACACATATACATATGTGCACACACCTGCAAATACACATACACATTCGCCCATGCAGCACACACCCCTACACACACACACCCCTACAACACACACACACACACACACACACACACACACACACACACACACACACAAATCTGATGTGCTTTATTGCCACAAAAGTGAGGTAAAAAACATGAACCCAAAGAATCATGTGGGATATATGTGTGGGATGGGCTCTTTGTTTTGGTACCTTTTTCCTTTCTTTAACGTCATAGAGGGCAATACTGGCAAACAGAGGCTCAATTTCAATCTCAAACCTGTCAGAGAGAGAGAGAAAAAAATATCAATATGGTTCTAGTCTGGATAAGCTTGAATGTTCTAAAAGCGCATGGATATATAAAATCATTAAAAATGTGAACACAATTCCAGAAATAGAGAGATAACCCCACAAATGTAAGAGACACAGATAGATACTAATGGGAAAATTATGAGAAGTTAATGGAAAATTCCAGCTCATTTGGGGTCATGGTGGGGACTACATTCTCTGAAAAATGTTTGCTTAAAAAAAGCTTGTTGGTGGCACAACAAGAGTGAGCCGAATGGGATTTTGGTCTGAACCCAAACACTACACTTTGTATGTACATCATGCGGGGGACTCAAACTGCTAGTCAAGGACTCTGCTCTGGCCCCCACCCCAGCCCCAGCAGTACTTACTCCCACTGAGACTGTCAGGCTTTAAAGAACAGTCTCTATTTCTTGGGCAATGGACTTGCTTGCATTCTTCTGCTGATATCAATTCTCTACCATTTGGGGCTGGAAAGATGGCTCACTAGTTAAAAGCGAGTATTGCTCCTGTAGAGAACCCTAGTTTGATTCCCAGAACCAACAACAGGAAACTCACAACCTCCTGTAATTCCAGTTCCAGGAGATCTGACACCCTCTTCTAGCCTTTCCAGGCACATTGACTCACATGCAAATACCCCCCTCCTCAACATGTAAACATGATAAAAAAAATAATAAATTAAAAGCTCCAAAGATCTACAGTTCAATCCTAAGGAACAAGACTTTTCAGATAGTTAAAAAGGAAATATTTCATTGCTTTTCCTTAGACTTACAATAGAACATTAAGATGATGACTGGGCCATGATGCCAATGAATGTGTGGCTCGTCCTAACTGCTATGGAAGGCTGCTCACTTGAGACAGATTGAGGACAGGGGAGAGAAGGGAAGGGATTAAGCACATGGCAAATACAAGGTACCCTGGCCTTGTTTGATTTAGAATGAGGAGCTCCTGGGGCCAGGGATTTATTTTAGGAGAAGAGTACTTGCCTACCATACACAAGCTCTAGGTTTGGTTCTGAACACACACACACACACACACACACACACAGCCAGACACCCTATCAAAACCAGAACTAGACGCCTCACATATTAACCCTGACTGCTGATTCCCTCTGAAATCATAGGTTTTAAGAAAACACCCCCAAACTAAGCCTGGCACATGTTATACATAAGTGTAAAATATAGCTGGACCTCCCAAATGTCTCAGTTTAACAAGCCATGACTTTGGACACTGCCCACTGAGAGCACCAGCAAAGTTGCTGGACGGTTACTCGTGCCTCAGAAGCCATGCAGATTAGGGCAGATTTCCTTTCAAGGCATACATGAGGGGTGGTGGCCTTACTGACATACAGTTCTTCCTCAAAGCAGCCTTTCTAGGCAGACAGAAGGGCCAGCTGGCCCATGGCATCTTCAGTGATGAGGTAACGTGGAATAATGGTATACTCATGGACAAGGAGTCAACCAGCTCTGGGCTCCGTTCCCTCTGCTCCCACCTGTTACTAACCTTCCTAATTCTATTTGTTTGTCTGCAAAGTAAGGGAAGGGCACTGCCTTTCCCATTTTCCATGGATGTCTTATGAATCATGTCAGATAATGTATGTAACATACATAGAAAACAATGCCTAGCAGCAGCATCCCACGCCACAGCAAATCCCCACATCTACCATCAGAAGAAGGGTAAACACACTGCATGTGTATAGTGATATTCTATTGGGCATATAAAATGCTATATTATATGCATATGTAGGCTGTGTTAAATGAAATAAAACCATCTTGAAAGGATATGTACTATATGATTCCACTTGTGGGATGTATTCATGTAGTCAAATTCAGAGATAGAAAGTAATGTGGTGGCTATCAGGAGATAGGGAGGAGGGGGTCATGGGGATTAGTGTTGAGAGGATACCAAGTTCTACTTTGGAAAAATAGAAACATCTAGAAATGAATGGCGGTGATGGTTGTACAACAATGTTCTTGTACTCAACAGCACTGAACTGCACATCAAAATGGTGGATTTTGTTTCATACATTTGTCACACACACTACAAATACTTATCATTCTTTCTCTATCTTTCTCTAGTCAGAAAATAGCTTCCCCGCCCCCCACCGCTTTTTTCAGTTTTTTGAGACGGGAGTCTTGCTATATAGCTCAGGCTGGCCCTAGAATCTACTGTGATCCCCCTGCCTCTGCCTCTTCCGTGCTAGGATTACAGGTACGAGCCGACATGCCTGGCAGGAAATAGAACTTTAGCTGAGGGCTTTGCTGAGCTGAGCATGTCTCCATGCCTCCTGGCAGGGCCAGCCTGTACTGAAGCATGCACTCCGTGATACAAAGGGTCTGAGCACTGCTGGGTGATAGTTAGATTGGTATTGAGTGTTAAGCTCTTGTGGTCCAGGGAAGAGAAGAGAAGTCCATTATGATGCCTTAGAGTTCCGGGGTGGCGTGCCAACCCCTTCCTCTTCACAGCTGTGTAGCTCTACAGGGAAGCTGAGGTGCAGAGTGAGAAGTGAAGCGACCTGGCAAAGGGCGCCAAGCTAGGAACTTCAGAGGTAGGCTTCGAGGCTGTCTCTTTTAAGCCGTGGGCAAGGGCTTTTTCTACCACTGTTTTTCCAGGTGTGGCCCTCAGACACCAGCATCGAGGCAACCATGCAGGAGTTCTGGGTCCAGCTGGGCCCTGCTGAAGCAGAATCCCTTGGGGGAGATGGCTGTAAGAGACTCCCCAACCTGTATTAAGACCACTCCCCGGCAAGATTTAGTGTACATTAAAGTTCCAGTGCTAAAGAGAGTCCTCTGAACAGAGGTTACTTTGTGTATGAGGGTATTAATTTTTTTTTAATTTATTTAACTTTATTTTATGCACATTAGTGTGAAGGTATCAGATACCATGGAACTGAAATTACAGACAGTTGTGAGCTGTCATGTGGGTGCTAGGAAATGAACCTAGGACCTCTGGAAGAACAGCCAGTGCTCTTAACCACTGAGCCATCTCCGCAGCCCCCGAGGCTATTAAACTTTAAATTAAAAGGTTCCCCTGCCTTAAATACTTTGTGGGATATTTTTTTTTTACTCTGATACTCCTGAGACGGCCCAATAAAGTTATACCTGGAATAAGGGGGCAGGGCCGGTGGTTGGATGACTGGAATTGGCCACAGAGAAGCCAGAAATTTGGAGAGAGAAAACACACAGGAAAGAAAGGACAGGGATTGGAGTTTGAGCTTCCTTTTGGTTCTGGGACAAGGGAAGAGACAAAATTTCTAAAATTTCTTTTTTTGGGACAAGGGAAGAGACAAAATTTCTAAAATTTCTTTTTTTTTTCTTTATCCAGTTTATAGTTAGGACCATTTCTTTGGTTTGTCTCTTCTCTCCAGGGTGTACAAATATGAATGTCACTTGAACAGGCCAAGGGTACTGGCTACACACATCAGTTGTGTTTAATTTCTCCTCTAGGAGGTGGGAAAACATCATTAGAAACTGGCTTGACAGTTTTCATTAAAGAAACTCAAGTGACGCTGTGTTATTTAAATAATTCATGTCTAGCTCAGCAGGACAAGTTTCCCCGTCTGTGAGAACAGCTGCTGCAGGTTATGTATTAGGTAAGTCTGGAAGACTTGGTGACAGTCAGCCTTGGGGAAGTTCCTCTAGTCCCAAAGACAGACCCACTGTATCTAAGTGTAGCCTGACTGAGTATTTGTGGGGGTGAGTGTGGCGGACAGCAGTGCAGAGGAAAGGCCCTGGCGCCTCCCCCAGGAACTGGCTAACACGAACAGGGGCTATAACAAAGCCAGCGCGGGTCACTGCATGAGTCCAGGGGCAGAACCAGGGAGACTACACATCAGAATCACAGGTTAGGTCATCTGGTCTAATGTCTTCACGTCTGAGAAAGAACCCAAATTCCCAGAGAAGATGACAGGGTTGAAACGAAGCCCCGAATGCAGGATCCAGATGTGTAAGCACAAACTAGGCACTATGGAGGCGAGCCTCACACTGACTGTGAGACAGATGGTCCTCCTGACTGTGTGGCAAAATGCTTGGCTTCTGTACTCGCCTCAGCGTGAAACCTGGGCCTCTCCCATGCTACGCACGTTTTCTACCATTGAGGTACATCTCCTGTATTTTCACAACGGTCTGTGATGTGAAAATATCGAAAAGCTAATCTCTAAAGTCTGCAGAGAGGAAGAACGGCCTGCAGGCACTCTGGGGGAGCACACAGCAATGCACTGGGGTGCATGAAGAAAGTACTGAGGTATTTTATTTCATTCTTTACATTTTCTCATGTATGTACACTTTATAACGACAATACTTTAATATGAAATATCTATCGTGTGTGCGTGCTTCGTCAAGAGTTCATGAACAAGCATGACCTGATTCCAGAGCACTGCTGGATTCATTACCGCTTTTGTAACTCTTCACTCATTTGATTTATTTGGTGCTAGGGAATTGTGCCGGCTAATTTTATGTCAACTTGACACAGACCAGAGTCATCTGAAAGGAGAGAACCCCAACTGAGAAAATGCCTCCCTAAGATTGGGCTGCAGGCAAGCCCGTAGAGCATTTTCTTAATTAGTGATTGATGGGGGAGCACACCCTGAGTGGGGCCACCCCTCAGCTGGTGGTCCTGGTTTCGATTAGAAAGCAGGTTGAGCAAACCACAGAGAGCAATCTAGCTAGTGAGCAGCGCCCCTCCATGGCCTCTGCATCAGCCCCTGCCTCCAAGATCCTGACTTCCTTCAGTGATGGACTATGGACGTCGAAGCATAAGCCAAATAAACATTTTCCTCCCCAACTTGCTTTTGGTTACGGGGTTTCATCATAGCAATTGTAACTTGATTTAAGATGGGGATCAAACTGAGGGTCTCAAATTTATACACGCTAGGCAAGTGCTCTACCACCTAGTTACACCTCCAACCCACAGTTATTTTTATTAATTTAAGAAAATTAACGATTTTCCTTATATGCCTAACTTTTCTAGACACCTGTGTTTGCTTTCCATATCATAGGAGATTGGTTGTTGAAGGTTTGGTAGAACAGAATCCAGGTCTAGTCAACTCTAAGCTCTATCTTTCCATGACCCCAATGCTCCCGCTATTGAAAGGGTGCCAGGAGAATCTTCCTGACTCCAGGATGATGATGCAGGCAAAATTCTATCTAAAAAGCCAGGCGGACATCAGTTCAGTGTGCCTGATACTTACTTCAGAGTCAGCACCTTGACGAGTATTCTGTTGCCCAGATGTTCCTTAGGACATTCTGGTACCGGACGTATTTCCACAGCATCCTCCTGGAAGAGAAATCGTTAGCAACTTCCCAGAGGGCTTTGTGGTTGGAGGAGAGCCAGGGGACGAAGGGCTGTCCTTGTCCCCGCTCTATTTCCAGAGCAGAACCCTGCTCTGTCTTGAGAAGACAGCTTGCCACCCATTCCTGGACACTCAAAGCCAGCACGTACAGCAAACGTTCTCTCCTGTCGGAAAAGGAGCATTGAAGAGAAAGAGCCTGGGGGATATGTGGGGAGGAAGGAAATGCAAACACGGCCATGGCTTAGTAACATCTGCCAGACGGCACTGCAAAAATCTACAGCTCTGGTTTTCCTCCCCCTCGGAAGCTCCAAACACACATTCAGAACAATTCTCTTTCCAGGTCTTTTTTTTTTTAAATTTTTTTTTAAACATTTATATTTTCTCTGTGTGCTTGTCGGGGTGCTTGCTTGTGTGCCAACAGCAGGTGTCACCTCATGGTAACTCTGTACCCAGTGTGGTGGGATGCTCCAAGTGGGGAACTCACCACCGCTCCACCCTCCCTCCTCACAGCCTCCCCCTCCCCCACAGCCCCACCCTCCCTCCTCACAGCCTCCCCCTCCCTCCCCACCCCACAGCTCCCATCGCTGAGGTCCCAGGTGGCATCTTGCTGGTGGCCCTACTGGCTTCCCTTCTAAGGAGGCGAGCTGGAGTCCTGAAGGGTAAGCTGGGACTTCCATGATTACCAGAGCAGACACCTCCACAGGGAAGACCCATTTACTAGAAAGACATCACACTTATGTATTTCTAACAGTAGCTTTGGTTTGAATTAGAACTTTTAGAATCTTCTTTGAAATAAGCTCTAGTTGAGGAAATTTTACACATATGTCGAAGCAGATAGACCAATAAAGTTAACCTCCATTTATGCACACTCGGCACCAACCATTTCAGCTCAGGCTCCTGTTGTCTGTATCCCCTGGCCAGTTCCCCACACTTAATACTGAACTATTTAAAAAGCAAGTTCCCGCACATCATACAGCTTCATTTGCAAGTATTTTAGTACACATGGGGACTTTTAAAAACATGAATAATAACACTGACCTAAAAACTAACTATAATTTCATAGTGTCACTAAATATTTTGTGCCAGTTTGGTAAATCAGGATCTAAACAAGGTTCATATTCATACATTTGGATAACGTATTTCCTAGGCTTCCTGTAACTGAATTTATTGAGGCTTCACATTTATCAGAAATAAAAGACAAAACCCAAGTAGCAGAGGGAAGAAATGGATGCTTTAGTGGATTCCTGAGGTTTTCATCATCCTGGAATGTATATGTGTTTATGTGTATCTATGTGTGTATACACATGTATGTGGTTTATGTGTGTGGGTGTGTGCGTGCACATGAGTTTTTGTGTGTTTGTGTATGTCTGTGTATGTATAGTATAGGTGTATGTGTGTGTTATATGTGTATGAATCCATGTGTGTATACACATGTATGTGATTTATGTGTGTATGTATGTGTGTGCATATGAGTTTGTTTGTTTGTGTGTGTGTGTGGGGGTGTTAAGACAAGAGAAAGAGGGAGGGAGAAAGCATGATTTGTTGATCCTACAAATCCAGTGGCCAACTCCACATTTGAGTTCCTGGGATTTGGCTATGAGGGCCAGTGAGTACCCGCCTCCTCTTTTAAAAATTGTTTTGTAGTTAGAGTCTATCACGTGCAGCAAACTCTTCTGTGATGTGGAGTGAAGGGGGACATCTTTCTGAGGGGTTAACACAGAATAGCCTGGCATAGGAAGAGTCGGAATCAGGAAAGGGATTGCATGGTGAAAACTTGGCAACTGAATCCAACTTTGGCCTTTTCTACAGACTCTTAAAATTTCAACAAAAGGATCTGCCCTTCTAATGTTCTTTATTGGGAAATAAAATAGTGGTAACATAAAATAATCTTATTAGTGTGCCATTAAAAAAATCAGCATTTATAATCCTTTCAGAGCAGGCAGAATTCACCTCTGCTCCATAGGACTTTCTTGGCTAAGGTTCAAATAACAAGCACAAACATGATTTCTTTGAGAACAACTTCAAAATAGTAAAGGGCTGGTGTAGAGGCTCTCAAGCATTTTACACATTCCAGTTTACAAGTAGCTGGCCTGGTAATTACACAGCATTCCTCTCCACTCAATAAAAGTAGGCCACTGGGACCTGAGCTAAGGTATAACTTTCAGCCCCCATCTGAATTATTGCATTGTCTCAAAAACCATAAAACAACACTCCTAAAGACAGTTTATGGTTCATTCTTTGAATCAAATCAGACTGGAAATCCTCCCATTCAATCTAAGGAGACTTTGATGGTGAATGTCTGACTCATCCTGTTCCCTTCCTGTACTTTCTTCTCTCATCTGATGTCCCCTTTAGTCTCTCTCCCCCTCCCACTGCCCCCCCCCAAGACAGGGTTTCTGTGTAGACCTGGCTGTCCTGGATCTCGCTCTGTAGACCAGGCTGGTCTCAAACTCACAGAGATCAATCAACCTGCCTCTGCCTACTGAGTGCTGGGATTAAAGGTGCGTGCCACCACCGCCTGGCACTTTGGTCTCTTACGTTACACTTAGCATCCCATCGCCATGGAGATGAGCAGAAAGGGAAGAAAGTAGAGGCCAAACCTGTCGGATTTAATATTTCTTGACAAATCTCACTGTTTAGTCTTCATGTTGTGAATAAAGGTTGAAAAGTTAGAACTGTCTGTGTTCCAGCGGTGTGTGCTAGTGACTGGGTCTTCACGCACAGGCAGGTCAGCAAACACGAAGACTGTCAGGCCCCTGCTTTCTAATTTAGTTCACCTGCTGAATCCTGAACAAACTGCTCAAATGTGTCCATCCTTTCTAATGAATTTCTAATTCAAAATATGGTGATGGTATTAAGGCCCATATTCTTCCTAATTTATTTTAAAGTAAATATTTTACATTGATAATAAAATTATATTTATGGGAAAAAATGTGATGTTTATGTATTCATCATAAGAAGATTCTTATACAATACCTTGCCAATTTATCTTTTCGTTTGGTGGTGAGAAAGTTAAGTCTATTTTTATTAACAATTTAAAAATATATACTATCTTATCATTTATTGTGGTCATCATACAGTAAAAAATAAGTCAGTAAAATCTAGTGCTCCAGTTTAACTGAAACTTTATATCTTTTGACCAATCTTTCTCTCCTATCTGTCTTAGTTGCTTCCTTTCTATTTTCTTCCTATGAAA